CCTGGGTGTTGTTGTTTTTTTTTTCTCTTTGTTTGCCAGAGAAGATGTGACAGATCAGATTTTTTTCTTATGATTTATTTTTATTCTTAATTTTGTATCGATAGAATTCATACGATGACATGTAAATATGCAAACAAAACCCCAAAAAAGTGAAAAGGGAAATTAAAAGAATAAAACTCAAGTGTGCTGAATAAAGATTTACAAAAGAGACACTCTGAAAGTGGAGGTGAAGGCAACATGGTTAAGTGTTTACAGGGGTGTTTGTCTGAATATATTTGTGTATGTATCTGTGTTGCAGCGCTTGCATCTAAATCTCTCCTGGGACGGAGTTATGGAGTAAGATAGGGATAAACGAACAAGTCGTGTGTTGCCATGAGTCTACGGTGTGTGTTCACTAAGCATACGCCCGTGTGTGAGTGCTCAGAGTAGTACTAGATAGCTGCCTGTGTAAACTAAAAGTAGATTTGAGGTTATGGGAGTGTGCGGATGTTTTGGTCTCCTTCACAGAGCTAAAGAATGGATCCTGAACTTTGAAGGAAAACTGTGTTCTATCACTTATTGTTGCCAAGAGCTTTTCCATAATTGAGTAGTCTCTTACAAGGTTAAGCTGTTGTTGTGAAATGTAGTTAGCGTTTATCAGCAAGAGGTTTCCAAGCACAAATATTCAAGGAGACTTTGAGATATTCAGGCCAAAATTATTAAATATTTCTTATCATTGATCGAAAACCAGAAAGCATAAAAACTGCAAAGATTTGAGAGTTTTTCCTGATAAACTTGTTTAGCGTTAAAACTTTAGGTTGAAAACACTCTTAGATCATCCTACAAGCAAGAAGTGACAGTTTTAAAAAGTCCCGTTAGCTGAAGTCATTTTCCTCGACGATGACCAAAAATGGTCTACGAGATTTTTCCTTTTGCGTGCATATATTTGTGAGTGCGAAGATAGGTTTCACACTCTGGTTACCAATACACTGTGAAAAGACACTGTTGAGTTCACAGTCACACACACTCACGCAGGTTCCTTTTACCAGCACGCACAGTGCTGCAATGCCGTACTCTGTGTTATTAACATAGTGGTGCGTCTAATAGCACCCACTGACCAAGGAAACAAAGATTACACCCACACTGACATATGGGTAGGTTGCAATAAGTTTTTTGGTTTAACAACAAAGACAAAGAAGTAATTCAGTGGAAAAAACATAAAAAAATTTGTTCAACTTAAAGCTGGGGTAAGCAGAAATCTAGAAAAGGGGGGGAAACAATTCAAATACACAGCTGTCCTTCTGCAGCTCTTCTCTCTATTTTAATCCCCTCTCACCGCTAAGCACATACACAAGATAATCAAGCTGAAAGTCAACATTAATTTGCGGCTTCACCACTCTCTAAGTGAAAGTCCTCCACTTAATCCAGTGCAACACCACATCCTAAAGTCTCTCTATTTCCCTCTTTAAACAGTCTTATCAGCTCTGGGGGGGAAAAGACCTGAGATTGTTTAAATTCTCCCATTGTGGACTATTAAAATATACGGAAAAGTTAGTGTGGATGTTTTGCCCAGTGGTGCCAAAAAACTCCTGCCTACCTCACCTTTAACCAAAAAGCTTCACAACAGCATCAGAATCACAGGTGCCGGAACAAAATTCAAATTTGAAAAAATAAAACTAAAGTAAGTGATATTAGCTCCCTACATGCAAGAGTTTGTAGATAATAATGAATAGTTAAAGCTATTAACTCTGCTGCTTACCCAAAAAGTTTATTGTCATAATAGGTCGTGATCATAAACTTCAAGCTTTTCAATAATGTAAAACTTAAGTTTTATCGTGATCAAATCTAAGTGTTTGTAGATCAGGTGTGCCATTTATAGCATCTGTTTTTTACCCACTCGGACTGCAAAACAGAAGCTCCTCGAAAAACAGGTCTAGAGCGGCAGTTTACAGCTGCCGTGTGGGATGAGAGAACTGTTTTGAGCTCGCACAGGAAAGGCCAGTGTTGACATCACCAACCAACTGTGCTAAAAGGGTCACATGATGGCATCATGTGAGGGCCACGGAGTCACGACAGAGTTACCTCAAGCAGTGAAATCGAGTAGCGAACATAAAAACTGCGTAGCACCATCCCACATGATGTTTGCACAAGTATTTACCATCAATTAAGGCAGAATTCAAGCACAAGCCGACTGCCTTTTAAATTGTGTGTGTGTGTGTGTACTTGTGTTCGAGCGCAGTATACTGTACATGCCTGTGTATTTCTGGATATATAGTGCATGGTGTAGGTAGCAGGTTGTACGTGTCAGGTTGAGATATGGAGGTGTGGTGTGATATTTATGTAGGTGTTATTGTTTGGTCAGTTAAGGCCTTTGATAATCACACTCATTCTCTTCCCGTGGTGTTGTTAAAGTCAGTCTAATCATATGTGTGAAGTATAATATGTGGCAAACGCATGCACACAGTTCCTCATTTAAAGTGTGAGTTTCAAGACAACTTTGATTGCATTCTGCTCTTCTGTTTTACATGTTAAAGTGAGAAGCAGAGAGTGAATGCCGTCCAAGCTGCTTGTTACATTGATGTTTCTTTTATATGCAGGTTTAGTTATGGTGATATTTGTGAGCGCCGCACTAATATGCGAGGGATCTGAGTCAGCATGGCACCTTTGAGACTAGCGGCTCTGGACCTCTGAGACTCACACCCCGGTCCGCTGTGACGTGCCACGTGCCACCTTTTGAAACATTAATGGCCCCAGCAGAGTGAGTGACTGAGCGAGCGGCTGATAAACGGAGCCGGGCCGGCAAGCTAGCGCTGTCCTGCCCCCGGTGCCACTCGCATCGAAACACCAGGGGAAGACAACACTCCACATGTCCTGTTCCTGAATAGTCTACTTTGACCTTATGTTCTACAGTCCTGTCATCTTATTTACTCGCTCGTGCACGATTTGTTCTGCAGCCCCTACTGCTGTAAGGCTGGCAGGTGCTCACGTTTCAGCTCAGGGTGTGTTGAATATAACAATTAATCTTATTGTCACAAGAAGCCTTTTGATCTTACACCATAAGAATGGGGCTTGTTTTATTTTTTTCTGTATTTCAGTTTGACTGTGTAAATGTCAGCATGGTATTTAGAGCCCAGGGGAGCGTTTTATCCTCATGTCGTCAGAGAATCAGATGAGTGCTTGCGCCGAGGTAAAGAACCTGACATCGCACTCACCGGTTTGCGAGGAGTAAAGAGCGCCGTCCGTGTCTCTGGGCTCAGCATCTGCTGTCTGACAGATAGCTCGGCATGACAGCGTGATGCGATGACATCAGTGGAAAACTTTTTGGGGAGGGGATGGAGAGAGGGGGGGCGTCCATGATATGGCAGTTCATGCGAGGTTTTGGGCACTCTAAGTAGAGAGAGGGAGAGAGACGGAAACAAAGACAGGATGGAGGTGAGGAATAGTTTGATATTCAGTTTCCCTGGTGCGTCCTGGGAGATATGATTTCAGGAAATCCAAAACTATCTATCAATATCTATTCAACCCTATCTCCTCTTTCGGTTGTAAAGAGAAAAATGTGAAGGACAATGCAATGGATAAATACCGAAAATCTATTTCACGCATTACCCGGATCTACCACATACTGAGGTCTCTTCTTTAAAAGGATCTTACAGTTATTGTCTTTATTATTGTACTCGGAGCATGTATTCGCTCCGTATTCATTTTGTATTTTTTTTTTGGCCCACTTAAGTGTCAGAAGAGAATAGGCAAACACACAGTTAATCAACAAACTGAGATCGTTAGCTACCAGCTGGGCACAGTGCTGGCAGTATTTCCTCTCTGTAAAAAAGCTTTGTCAATACAGATCTCCAAATAATACACACAGTCGCAGAAGACAATAAAAGAAATTTCAATAAAAACATGCAGTGTTGCTCACAGAGGGAAGCTGGCAGTGGCACATTTTCTCTTTTTTCCCCATACAACCAAAGAGCTTGCACACATGGCTTGGAAAAGAAACCAGGTGCAGCTCACTGGAATTAACTCACTTTCACTGCTCTAGTTTTGATCCAAACAATAGAGGAATAGAGGCTGTTCTATTTTGACATTGTGGGCACTTGTATGCTTGTGTTACTCATGGTGCTGGTCTCTCACACTTGTACTTGCACATACTCTTATCTAAAAAAAAAAAAAAAAGAACACCCCAATTAGAGGGGAACAATTTTTGTGGTTCAAATTGAGCCCATCACTATTTAAGTGCTCACAAACGGCTTCAAGCACAGTCAAGGAACCCATCTGTTATTTTTATCGATAGCTTGTTATTGACTATGAGATGTGGTGAATCGGCAACCGAACAATGTATGTTAATGTCAGTTTGTGAAACTAGTACGCCTTGGCTATTTTCTTAGATCAAAATAGTTATAGGTATGTGTATTTCTTTTGTGCAGAAACGGGAGCGAGACAGTCGCACACATTCAGGCCATATGAAAGAGACGATTTAACTTGACACATGTTCCATGATGAGCCTCTGTGCCCTTTGATGTACAAGCAATAACTGATCTTCTTTACCGTTATCTGACTGAGACAGAGTATTTTCAGTTCCTTAAATGCAAACCCAGCTTCTTTTTTTTTTTCTTTTTTCCTGGTATAGTAGATGGACTGTTACAGTCAGTGGGTGTTGAACCATTCGCAGACTTTACTTTCCTTTAATGCTGTTTCCATGAGACCTAATCATTTTAAAGGGAAAAAGTTAAGACATCAGATTCCTGTTTGTTTCTTCATTGCACATGAATGCATCTATGGTGGAGCATATTTTACCACAATGAAATTATCACCAAAGTTTGTTTGAATGTATGTGTGAACATAAATCTCTAATCTTCTTATCCTTAGATTTAGATAAACTTTATTGATCCACAAGGGAAATTGTTTGATCACCATCATTGTTTGATAATCCTGTGAAGAAGAACAGTTATTTATACATTGCTGTTGCTTCAGCTATTCTTTATCTGCTAATTTTCTTTCTCCCATCTCCTTCTTTTGCCCAGGTGACATTTACAAAGCGAAAGTTTGGCCTGATGAAGAAGGCGTATGAGCTGAGTGTGCTGTGTGACTGTGAGATTGCCCTGATCATCTTCAACAGCACCAACAAGCTGTTCCAGTATGCCAGCACAGACATGGACAAGGTCCTGCTTAAATATACTGAGTACAATGAGCCCCATGAGAGCAGGACCAACTCTGATATTGTGGAGGTAAGTTACAGGAAAAGCACAGACTGCACACATGCATTCGTGCACAGATGCACAATCGCACGCACACTCATGCAAACGCGCAAGCGGACAGATGGTTACAGCATTTGTGACTCATTCAGCAACCCTTACTTCTCTCTTTTAGTCTTCACACCTAACATAATGTAAGAAATAATTGCTCCCATAGTTTGTCAGTCCCCNTCCCCCCCTCCCCTCCCCAAAGGGTTCAGTACCAATATCAGTCACTTTTAGAAAACTTATTTTAAGACTCACAATATGTCATTAATTTCAAGAAAATGTGTTTATTTAAAATGCCTCCTTGTGTTATTTGCACTTTTAACATAACAGTGGTAGCCTATCATTGATCTGGGCCTTTCAGACTGTCCCCTGTGGTGTATAATCACCACCCCCTGCCCCTGGTGTCTTGTCACCATTGATGTGCCTCTAACAGGAGGATGTTGATCTGACTTGCTTTGGACACATGTCGCTAGAGTGGCTCAAGGCGATGTTAAACAGCGCTGTCAGGCCAGCCAGTAGGCAAGGTAGATAAAGCAGGAAATGACGCTGGCACCCTCCTGGATCCTTAAGCTCTCAACGTGAACCTGTTATGCAACATTCACTGTGGAGCTCTGACCTGGTGGGCCACACACACAGGCATGAATGCATTCATGTAGAGTTTATCCCTTTCTCCCCCTTTCCTCCCTCACTCCCTCATTTACACTCACACTGTGAGTGAGATTCAGGCCCACAAAGTAATGCTGTACAGAGAATATTTTTCCAATGTATTCAAATTTCACAAACCCTACTCAGTATTCATTATCTTTAAAGATAATTTTTAAAGCAACATTTTGCTTATATTATGTTAAATTTGCCAATCCAGATTACATTCATTTAAAAATTCTATAAGCTGCTTATTTCATATATGTTTGCCCGTCGTTCAGCTTTAAAATGCTGTTTGTGCTTCATGATTCAGATTCTACTCGTTGCCCCACTTCTCCTAACTGTAACACAAGTGAAACAATTATTAGAAATATAACCTAGTTTTAAATTATTTAAAATTCTTCTCTTTTTTTTTTTTGTAGAATATATAACAGTAGATGCACATTCAGATCATAATTCAAAAGACACTGTCTGCAGCATAATGTAAATTCTTTTGGTCACCTCAGTCATAATTCATGCACGTTGCTATAAATCTGTTGTTGTGGAACCAACATTTAAAAACATCAAATGAGCCAAAGGAAACATGGGGATCAATGAGACGGAATGAATTAATGCCACCCACACGACTAGGGGTTGGCCAGTCTAACACCGGATCAAACAGCATGGGACATATTTTTTATCTTTTCATATGGGTGTTGCTGGGCGTGTTGCCCACTCACAGGTAGACAAGCCCACTGGCTCCTCGCCTGCTATTCCAGACAGCACCCTGCACCTGACTGCTAACCTTTTGAATTTACACTCTAATATCAAATGTCTTTGGCTATAAAAAGATTTTTGCCTCACATCCTTCGTGTAATTACCTCCTTCTTTCTATTTTATTTGGAGGTTAAAAGCAATGTAACTATATGCAGTGCAACCTATTGCTAACTTAAGAGTGGTTTGCTGATGTCATTATTGCTTTTTTTTTTCCACTGCTGTTTCCATTTGGTGCAGTCAGATATGTAGTGTGTTGATGTAGTCCATACATTAAGTGGTTCAGCACTCAACATATGACGAACCTTAATGATGAAAACAAAGAGAATGGAGTCGATGCATTATCACAGACTGTACTGAGAAGCATAACAATGTATTCACTTTTGCAGTATGTGCTCTATTCCTGTCATATAATTCATATTATTGAGTCTTTTTTTGAATTATTAATACGACCAAGGCTGTTAGCTTAGTTATATTAAGTTGCGCAACTTTAAGACATTAAATAATCAGAAAACCTATATGATGTGCATTTATGCATTTATGAAGTGCCTCCAAAGCTCAGTTTGAATCCTATTAGTAATACTTGTGAATTGTCACAGTCTCTGCAAAATGAGTCATACTCTAATATACAAGAAAGGATAGAAAACAATCCTGTATCTCATTTACATTAACCAATGCGGCACATACTCTTATCACCAGTGTGGCAATAAGCACCGGTGTCCTTTATTCACCCAGCTCCTCAGTCGCTGTATACTCACCACTACTGAACCCATGAAGAGTTGTCACATGTTTCAGCAAGTGCCTGTGATGAGAGCTCCCTGCTTTGAAGCTCTTTCTTTAACCGTGTCTCCATTAGAGAGCAGAAGATGGCTAACGTGTAAACAGCTGTGTCAGGGGAAGATGCTAAAGAGCCTTGTGGGGGAGAGTGCTGTGTAGCACTACCTACAATGTGATCCCATGAGGACTCGGGCTCTGCACTCTGCGAGCGACTCACAGCGGGAGAAATCGATCTGAAGAGGCCTTCAGCCCGAGCTGCGGTGTGCTAAAGGGATTGGCCGCAGGGCTGACACTAGCACGTTTGGCATGGGTGGGAGGAGGGTGTGTGGAGAGAGGGGCGAAGCGTAGGGGAACAGGGGGGTCAGATCTCTCCCTGCAAGCCTGTATGCCGCTGTTAAGCAACGTCACAGGTGCAGGACCGTGGGTGGGTTGTTGAGTTTGGGCTGGGAGGAGGCAGGAGCAAAGCGGACTTCCTGTTGAGATAGCAGGGTGATGAGGAGGAGGTCAACAACAAGATGAAGGACAGATTTAGGGGTGTAGTTGAATTTTAGGTCCCCCCCCACACACACACACACAGAGGAACAACAATATCTTACATATGGCATCTAATATGTGTCATATTAAATTTAAAATTTGTAGAAAACTCTTTATGTGCATACTGAAATGCATGCACCTCGCTTCCTCTATGGCTGCTGTGCCTGAAGGTGTAGTGGGAGGAGAAGCAGAGGTAGGGGAGCGGAGCTCAGAGTGTGGGCGGCTGGCATAGAGGCCTGCTACATTAGCAATAAAGCTCTATGTAATTAGCATGTCTTTGGTTGATAATTAGCGTTGTTGAGAGAGTGGCACTGAGAGCGTTGCACAGCCTCTCTAGCAACAGCATGTTTACAAGAGGCTGGAGGGCTTTTCTCTCAACCTCTCTCACTCTTTATCTGCTTTTCTCTCATATCCAGTTTTTCATTGAACGTACGGAATCTCTTTTTTTTGTATTATTCTGAATGTATGTATGGGTCAATGGGTATGTAAGTGTCAAAGACAGAGAAAAAGGGGGATAGAAAGACGGAAGGAAAGAGAGAGAGCGAGAGAGAGAGAATGAGGCAGAGTGGAGTGGTAACAAAGTTCTTGATGACTCACTTGAAAACCATCTCATCTGGGAATGACACTTCTACAAATATATGTGAAAGCAAAAGACCAACAAAGCAAAGCTAACACTCCTCTGAGCACCAGTGGTAAAACAAAGGAAGCTTTACTAATACAAATGGCTGCAATGCATCACTATGAGGAAACCATAACATGAATACAGTAGCAGTTTGAAACAAACTGTGGACATGTTTTTTTAATGTTTTGAATGCCTCCATTTAATCCTATGCCATGTATCACAGTGAAATCTGAACTCACAGAAACTCCTCCAGTGACTGTAATAAAAAATGCAATACACAGTGTTATCAGCTCTCACGTAAACAAGCAGGGAGTCCACTTAATTAATGCTAAGTGTTCAAAGAGACATCTAAGCTCATCTAGGCTCTCATAGCTTGATAAAAGCAGACACAGAGGCAGATCTTCCATCACTAGATGGCCATGCGGGGTCCAAGTGTGTCGTCCTGGCAGGTCTACAGCACGCTCTGAGCCTGGCTCCAGATAAAACAGTCAAACATGCAGATAGATTTCCTATACTCACTGTCTGCCAGGTCAGTTTCCTGGACATGTGAACGGCATTAGAGGAGAAACAGTGAGCTGTGTTGGGAAATGACAAGAGAATAGATCCATCTCTCCTTTTTTCCATTGGTTTTTATTCCTGCTTAAGAACAATCACTTTGAGCCGTTATTGGTGATTTATTATTCCAGGATGGGGGTTGTTAATTGCAATAGCACATGAAAGAGTCCTTTCTTTCCCCTACTCGATGATTGCACATCTAGCCCAAACCTAAGCGGCGCTGGCTGGCTCTTGCTGTGATTGAATGGCCCCAAATCCAACAACACACTTGGGCTTTGCCAAATCCCTGTTCCACAATGTGCTTGTTTTCCCCACTGTTGAAACAAAGAACGCAGGTTTGTGAAACAACTAAAGGGTTAGTGAGTGTGTGGTGATAGGGAGATATATCCCCTCAATGCCTTGGAAGGAAAAAAAGACGTGGAGGGAACGTTTTTTGTGGGCTTTATGTACAAATACAGTATGAGCTATTCTGCATGTAAGGACACACACAGTACTGTGTAAGTGTGTTCTCACACTGCATGGGTGCACGCGTGTCCACGTAAACGGCAACAATTGGCCCGAACCCTGCAGAGCCGGCGGCATTGTGGTGACCTCAGCCAGGACCGCACACTCAACTCAGCTATCACATGGAATGGCACATGGCTCTTGGTGCACTGACGTGCCTGCTTGCCTACCTGCCAGAGGAGTGCCGTTGGTCAATCCCATTTCCAGCAGATTAACCTAATCTGAAAGTTCAGCTCAACCTGTAATCTTAAACAGCAGCAGCAGCAGCAGCAGCAGCAGCAGCAGGGACCTGATTCCCCACCTATCCTCAACTCATTTCTGTACCTTCTATTTTTCCTTTCTCTCCTCACCTAGAAGGAACTATTGAATGAGAGGGGGACGGGCGGGACAGAGGGATGGATGAGTGTGAGAAGAGAAGGAGGGAAGGAAAGAGGGATGGAGGGAGGAAGGCTGGTAATTATTTCCAAAGGTCATTCTGTTAATGACTACCTGCTTGGCTAATGAGATTCAGCAAAGCTCCCTGACCATGTTTCACTGCGTATGTTTCACCCGTGTGCCGAGATGTGTGAGAAGCACAGGTGTGATTTCAGCCCAGTGA